GAGGGGGTTTGTGACCGGTCTTCCCCCCAGCCATAAGAGATGGAAACAAAGATTCGTTTTTATTGAGTTTCCCTCTGACCAATTTCCTTTCACTAACCCCGAGTGGGCTGACCGGGTAATAAAACCTGAAAGGGTTCACCCGGAGCCTACCCCTGAGCTTGAAGATGCCTGCGAGAAACTTCTCAAGGGTGATCCTGTGACCGGTAAGCCATACGCCTACGGTGGATGGGTATACCGGTTACCTAACCCGGATGGGAGTGAATCTGCGACCCATGACGCAGAAGATGACCAGGCAAACTCCCCGGATGGTCATGCTGAGGCCAGTTCTCCTCGTCCAGGTCGATCATCTTCTCTTAAGCTTCTTACTTTCATTTTCTTTATTTATGTACAAGGCTTAAGAACTAACCGGTCATTAGTTGCTTTGTTCTTTTTTCAGACATGAACTTCAACAGGATGACCACCATCATTGAGGATGACGACGATGATGTCCAAGTCCTCCACTCCAACCGGTCTCCTTTCTCCAAGCCTTCTTCTCCTCCTTACTTCCCTGAAATGGATGGGGCCACAAGTGCCCGGTGTAGCCCTATCCATGAACAGAGCCAAAAACCGAACTCTCCTCCAGCCACCCATCTCTTTGAAAATGACCGGGTTCCTCATCCCAAGAAGGATGTCAAGGCCAAAGGGAAGGGGATCGGTCATTCTTCTTCTCAGAAAAGGAAGAGTTCCCACAAGACTTCCAGGGGGAAAGGAGGAAGAGGGTCAAGCTATCAGATCTAGAAGGGGAGTCCATCGAAGTGACCTTTTTATCCCTGGCCCAAAAACTCAGCAAGGTATCAACTCTGATTTTCTTCCCGGTTTAATTATTTCCTTCGCTTTTACTGACAAGCTTGTTTTCCAGGTTGGAGTTCTATCCGAAGAAGTTGGCCGGTCACTCCTGGAGTCCAAGGACCAGGTCTCCGAACTTACCCTCCTTCTTGCTTCTGCCAAGTTGGAGATCAATGACCGGGCCGAGAGGGAGAAGAGACTTGAAGAGGAGCTGAAGGAAGAGAGGGCCAAGCTAGACGAGGAAAGAGCCAAGCTGGCGGAGGAGAAGAGAAAGGTGGCTGAGCTAGAGGAAGCTTTGGGACAGGCTGAAGAATCTGCCCGGGCAAAGGAGCAGTCTTTTCCTGATGATGCTGCAACTTGGGCCGCTCGCCATCACACTGAAGTTGCCCGGTCCGTTCTCACCAAGCCGGAGGATACCATGGATTTTTTCAAGACCATGTACAAAGAACCGGAGGGCATGAGGATGATAACTGAGATCGGGTCATACGGCTTCCAGTGTGGCCAGAAGGATGAGAGGTCCCTTCTCTATGCCAGGCTCCAGAAGAGGGACCCTTCGTTTGACCCGGTCAAGATGAAGCTTCCTCCTTTGTACAAGGAAGAGCCAGCCCCCCTTTTCCCTTGCAGTAGGTTAGGGTATTCTCCATGAAAAAACTCTGAATTTTCTTAAGGCCTGGGGGATGTCCGGCGTACTTATGATTTTTATGAGATTTAAATCTTCTTGGCATGCTCTTGAATTTTACCGGTCGATCTGCTTCAATTTGCATGGTTGAACTTCTTTTCTATGCATGGTTGTTGTCTCTTACATGATAGCTTTTCTTTTCTTTTTCTTGATCGCCTTTGAATGAACTTCCAAGTCAATAAAACTAACCGGCCTTATACCTTTTTAGTTGTCCAGGTCACCTCATGTCCTGGTCTTTGGTTAACGCCTTAGAAATGTCTAGGTCTGGTAGGCTTTGTTGACAGCGTCCAGGTCTTTTCATGTTCTGGTCAATTCCATCTCTTGCAAATGTTTAGGTCATGTTATGTCCTGGTCAAGTACAAGCCTTGAAAACATCTAGGTCTTGCAACCTTGAAAATGTCCAGATCTTGTGGCCTGACTAGTCTTCTGGACCGGCTTGTGTCTAGGTTGAACTGCAACAAACGTCAAGGTCATCTCATGCCCTGGTGTAGTAGGCTAGGTTGGAAGTTTTGAAGACCACTTTAGACGCAAGGCTTGAAAACTTCCAGGTCATCTCATGTCCTGGTTTCTTGACTTGAAAACGTCTAGGTCAGTTTCTTCCTCGCCTGTTTTCTGACCCAGTCAACTTCCAGGTTCTAATGGCTTGGTTGCAATATGTAACCAGCATGACGTCAAATTTCCTGTCCAGGTGCCGGGTCAAAAATGTGACCGGTCAAAAAATATTTTTTCTAGTTTTGTCTGATTTCATCAAATCCGCCAACTAAAAAGTGACCGGTCACTTTTCTCAAATTTGACCGGTCAAATTTTAATTTTTTCTCATTCGCATTTTCTTGTCAATCCAGAACATCAAAAAGTGACCGGTCACTTTTGACCATGCCACTTTCTTTTCCCCCTCTGGCCTGGGTGTCATGCCTAACAGCAACCTTGCTCAAATTTCGAACGAATAATCCGAAACGGTTTTGGAAACATCAAGTCTCAACATCAAGACCCGAACTTTCTTTGGAAATTTTGACCATGTCCTATGATCGCGAACCCTCTCCAAGGTTCAGCCCTCTTCCAGGCAACACCCTTCTTCCAGGGCCCCTCTTCCAGGTTTTAAGTTTTTTAATGTGCCATTCTCTAATCATTAGGTTGACCTAGCCAACCCAATCTTCCCACGTGGGGGTATGCCGGTGAGAACCAGCCCTCATCCAATCTTACATGT